TTGTGAGGAGAAGAGGCAGCGTTGTAACGAATGAAATGGAATTGAGAGGATGGTAGTTCTTGTGGATGGAGGATCATGGAGCTAGCAACGACTGAGATAAGAATAAAGGTAGAGGCATAAAAGGGTAGTGTGGTGATGTTGGCGCAGATCAAAGAGGAGGGAGTTGTGCAAGAGGAAATGTCTGAGAGAGTGACATGGAAAAGGAAAAGAGAGAGAGATTAGATTTACAATTCCACCTTTTCATCCCATTCCCTTAGTAGTAGAATATTATAAAGAGTTAGATCTAGCCTTTTCTTTTATGCAGGAGGCTAAAAATAAGGACATTTTGGACTTTAGGTTCTAGTTTGTTGGATTTTCCAATTGGTTAACACCAAAAGTTTCAGGTCTTGGTTCAATTGACAAACGTGATCCATCCTCTCTAAATTTTATCTCCATTTGAGTTACAATTGCTTAATTGCTAAGAGTGTGAGCTTAATTTAATCTATATTCCTGAAATAGGTTGATGTGAGGTTGGGTTGATGGTGCTACTAGGCCACCCATGAGTTCCCACTAGTTCTAATTTTTGATCTATAAGGAGCAACGAGTACTAGCTTTGACTAGAGTCATATTACCACTATATTTTGAATATTTAACAATAATAGGAGACCTGATTTTGCTATTGTTAGAGGATTAGATTCATTATACATTGAGGACAATAAAAATGTGAAATAGTTCAGTTGTTTTGACATGGTATCAGAGAATGTTTTCTAACCCAGGATCTCTTTCTAACACACAATCTCTTTTAAACTCCAAACCTCAGCATTGGGGGCCATTACCACAAGTCCCTTGTCCATGTGTTTCCTAGCCAGCTTCGAAATGTTCTGCGAATTTTTAGGAGCATCTTGTGCTCTAGCTCTAGCGACACCAGTATCTCCCACCTTAATCTCCAGCTGAGGCTCATCTAAGGTGATGGTGAATGTATCACTGTCGTTACCTGTTTCAAATTGGGACTACATCTCACGATATGACAATTCATAGCTCGACAAACTGTTGTATAGTGTTATCTTTTCAGATTGGGAAAAAGGATGTTAAAAGACCGGATTTAATTCGTGTTCTATTCTGGTTTGTTAGTTTAGGTTTTATTTGTGTACTTATTGTGAAAATCCTTGCCCATACCTAACCAAATTTAAGACGTGTTCTACTGTTTCTATCTGACTCAAGAAAACTCCACCCAAACTGCGTTGGTTTTGGTCCATTCAGGTAAAAATGTTTTTGATTTGCACCTTTAGTTGCATTGGAACTATATAACATGGTACCTACTTTACATTTTTTTCACATAATGGAACTATATGACATGGTACCTACCTTACAATTTTTTTTTCATTCTCTCACATAATGTCTACTTATTATGAGTTTCTACTCATCATGAGATTGTTGTTTACGTGTGACCTTGCCTTATTTACAAGTGCATACTTTACTTAGATGCAACTCACAAAAACATTTGTATGTCAGGCTAACCGAGAGCGGATGAGTTCACGTCAAAAGGAGATCCACCGTATACAGAGGTTTCAGAGGCTTAAGATGGAACATCAGGAGATAGATAAGAGGATTGAGGCATATGAACAGCGGTTAAAGCGGTTCAAGGAGTTTGAAGAAAAGGTAAAGGCCAGGAGGGAATCTCGATATGATTATTTGAAGGGGGCTGGGTATAAACTGCCAATTTCAGTGGTATGTTTTTTTTTATTTATTAATATTGATGTTTCACTCAGATAATTTTTATTTCAAGATTTCAATGTTTCTGCTATCATAAATAAACGAAAAATGAACACCTCTTTTGGTGAGGTGATGTCAGCTTGTCTCTTGACCATTTCATGCACATTGAACCTGTTGTTATCAATTTTATCTCAATGATACTTCCAAAGTGTGAAGTATCTCCATGTTGATGGGGTTGCATAGACCTTATTTGCTCTAACCGAGGACAATTAAACTTGTTTTTACTCTCTTCTATTAACTCACTATAACTAAATGTCATCTAACTTTTAAGAGAGTTTCATCTGACAATTTTGGTGCATTCATGTCTTACCCTACAGAAAACTGTGGTTGTTATCCATGTTATGTGATGGAAAATGTGCCAGCTAAAGTAGTAATCTGGCCATTCCACTAGTAGCTTAGTGGTGCAAGTTGGACAGTATATAGAACTATTAACTCAATGTTATCGAATCAAACTTCAAGATATTCTCTTTATCTCACAAAATCTTCTATGCCGTTTTGTATCTTATTCTTCTGAAAATTATATGGTTGTTCTATGTTCTGTAATGTTCTTCTGAAAATTATATGGTTGTTCTATGTTCCGTAATATTCTTCTGAAAATTATATGGTTGTTCTATGTTCCGTAATAGAACTGAGCTAGTAAAGCAGCAACCTGGCCGTTTCACTAGCAACTTATGGTTGCCAACTGTTTCATAAAATTACCAAACTTAATCCATGACATAACCACTGTATTAAACTGCAAATGACAAAATACTAGTTTTTCCAGAATCTACTTTGAGGTTTTAGCAGCCAAATGTAAACCAAGCAGCTCGATTTGCTTCATTGCACGATGCAAGCAATTGTGAGCTCCGACTACTGAAGTAGCGCCTAGATAGGTTGTCTCCAGAGCATCTAATATGCTGTATTTAAACATTTCAAATGTAAGAGGTTAAGCATGTCAACTTTCTACCTCCTTGGTCTGACCCTAGTCTTCAACTCTCCATGCATAAACTACCAGCGAAAATTGGATACAGCCAAGTCGACATCTACTTGGAATTCTACGTGCTCTGCATCTATTTCCAGGATTGATCAGGCTCTGTCGCTATCTAGTTCGTTGTTCTTTCTTTTCTACCTCCGTTGTTGGAAGCTCTTTGATTTCTTTAAGACAGGTATAACTTTATTTTTGTTTTTAATTGAAAATTTGGTGTTCCTTAATTGATTCAGATGGACATCAGATTATTAACTGATTATGTTACTCAAAGTTTTTTTTTGGATTTACTTTCATTTGGCACTATTTTCATACACTTATAACTAATGTGCTTTTCAGGTTCTGCAGCAAGTTCTCCAACCGGAGTGAGAATTGCTACGTCAGGACTTAATGTGGTTCTGCACAAGTGAGTATTATCGAGGTTGCTTTATTTATTTATATTATCATTTCCATTAGCAATGCAAAAGGATATAAATATCCATGAATGATGGGATGCAATATTGATATTAAATATCTGTACTGGATGTGGATACGGATAGGCGTATCATTTAAAAAAAAACTATAGGATAAGAATACAAATATGGACAAAGGATAAGAATATGGGTATCCGAATACCTGTGTTGACCGGATTGTTAAAATTGTTTCAGCTTTTAATTGGTGGATCATTTGAAACCGATTTTCATGACCTGAGATATAACTTTTAAGTTTGTAGATGCATTGAATGTTTTGGTCAACTATGATATGAGAAATTTTATTTTATTTAGACCAGCATATGTACTTTTGAATCGTATGTGTTTTTCCCATATCCTATATGTGTCCAGATCTGTTTCCTCCTATTAGATTTGTTCTATATCTGATTTGGTGTTCCTTGCAGAAACCCATCGGCACGCAATGTCCACATTCATGATTAGTAAGCGGATGACTGTCATATCTAATCCATGTCCAAATCCATTTGCAACCCTTATTTTTGTACATATAATACTCGGATTCCAGTGGAATAAGATCTCATAGTTAAAATATATGTCAAGAATTTCTAAGATATTTCTAATCATTCTTCATTTCCATGACCCTTTTAAGTGTGATTATACTAGTGAATTTGCTTCTGCCCTTGTTCTTTACGACGAATGACGGCTGCTTTTCCATCTTATTTTCCACTACCACAACTTACATAGATTTTATGCACTTCTCTGGTAATTGTCAGTGCACTTGTCGCTTTCAACACAGAAATCTCCTTTTTCTGAAACCTGGTCGCCGAACTATTATTTGTCCTGTCATTGTTTTCTTCTAGAGTTTCAATCTTGGTTTCCTAATTTTGCTTTCTGTCTTTTCTGTATTTTAGAGGAGAGGATCAACGCCCAGGCTCTGCAGATCTTGTTCTTCACCGTCAACTCCCAGCATTATTAGGTTTTGACAAGGATCAACATTCTGTTTAAGTGATTTCCTCCCTGCTTGAGTTTGTCTGTGACCAACTGCCAATGTTACAAAAATTATCAAACTGGGACTCAGTTTGTTTCCTCATATTAAGGGGATTGCATTATTTTGGTTCTGCAATTTGGGATGCCTGTGGAGGAACACATCAGTAGTCTCCTCAACACGCTCTTTTTATCTGCTTTTCGTTTCATGATAATCTGTTTCATGATAATTGCTAGATCTATATGTATAAGCTCCTATAGCTAATTATCATGAATTAAGAGCATTGTTTTTGTTGGTGGCTTTTGTTTATAATGCCGAAGGCTTACCGCTTACTTTGAAAGCCAGGATAATTTATAAGTTCTCATGCACTCAAAAACAAACTTTACCTACTTAAATCCAGACTATAGAATACAGTTGTGATGTCCCTGGTTTCACACAAGTCTGCAGTCCAAGGTGAACCCAGAGATGTTAAACCTGCCATGCACCCACATTGTGCATAAACATGTTTCACCAATCACAGCAATATCATCCAGTGGAATCAAATAGGAGTGCAGGTACAAAACAGGCAAAATAAGGGAATAAATGTAATAGACATGATATAGAAAAGATATCTCATAAATAAAAAGAATCATGTCTCAACAGTAATATATCTGACAACCAAAATAATAAGAATGTCATCATAAATCAACTAGAATTGTATTAAGGCACACTGCCTTTACAAAATGAGAATAAAACTCTAATGTTTGAATAAAACATAAACTCTACTGTGGAGCCTCTAAAAACTCATGTGACGGCGACTATGCAAGAACTCCGTCATCCTGCGGCTCTCCGTACCTTTGTACCGTCTGAAAGAAGAGAAAATAACAAAAAGAACCACATAAAGAGCGTTAGAGCGCTATAGCAAGATCACCTTCATCCGCCCCCAGGAGAAGGGTTGTTAGATGGAGTGGAGGTTTTATCTATTAAGCATAGTCTACCTAGATTTATTTTCCCCGTATCTAATGGAGTTAATATTTAGACACCTACAAGACGAGACGTAGTACGTTGAGCGAAATAATCCAAACAAGGAAATCTCCATGTATATACCATATGTCTCAAATTGTAGACACCTAAACATTAACACCGAACTAAGAAAAGACAATCTAATGAGATCAACAATTGGGAATCCACAACACGAGACTGATACGTCGAGCGAAATAATCCAAACAAGGAAACCCTCATGTATATACCATATGTCTCAAGTTGTGAAACTCTAATTATTGATCCCAACTAAGAAGTAAAGAAAGCAGTAAAAGAATTAAGACATCAACACATCGTATTTATAATATCTTCCACTATCACTGGGAGATAGAATAAAATACCAACACATATTTTGAATACTTTCAAAAGCAAAGTATCTCGGTCATATCGTTCAGTGATAGGTCGTATTCATAACCGATATCTGTCACACTTAGGCTATCAAGTAATTGTCTCAGTGCAACGGACTGCCCTGTAGGTATCATGAACTATGTACACGGCTCATTAGTCTCATCACGATTTCAGTGCGTAACATAAGTGCGGGATGGATTACCAAATATGCATCCTAGAAATACGGCTCGCGAACCTCATCGCACGCTAGTGCGGGACGGACGGCTAGATCAAGCCTCTTAAAATCCGACTCAATGGCTTGTACATATGGAATATCGACGTACTACCTCATGTAGTACTGAACTGAGCTCATCAACGATATCCACCTCATATATAAACTTTGTATATCTGGTATGTCGACGCACTATCCCATATAGTATTGAGCTATGCTCATCAACGACTTCTAACATGTGTATGAACGACTACTACTCTATTATAAACAACCTAACTCTTGTCAAAATCCCTTTTTGGGATACCCATGTGTATGTATTGACATTGTACTTGTGTATTCGTAAATTTACATGTATAAGAGTGCGGTTCAAACCCTGCAAACACATCTCAAACAAAACAAAACAAAACTCAGGAAATCAGCCTTAGTAGTCGACTACTAGACTGAGTAGTCGACTACTCTGAGTTCAGCCAGAATCTGGAAAATCGAACTAAGTGTGAGTAGTCGACTACTATACATATTAGTTGACTACTCTGCTATGTGAAAGTTTCTGTGTAATATATTTTGAGACAGAGTAACCGACTACTCATCTTAATAGTCGACTACTCTGCATGCAACTGCAAACTGATATGCGCAAACAAGAAATTAGCTAAACAACTTGCACTTATGCAAACTTAAACATGATTTACACGATTTTCCCATATTAAATGGAGATTAACATGATCATAAACATAGAATTATCTTGGTTCAATTAAAGTTAACATCTTTATTAATAATCTCTTCAATTAATCACATATAAGCGACATGATTATGAAAACATGATGAAAACTACACATGACAGATTTATATTTCATTTTAAATCTGATTACAACGCCTAGATATCACAACCCTAGGTGTTAGCATGAAAATATACAAGAAAAACTCAATTACTTATCAAATTAGGGTTTTCACATGGGTTAAACTTAATTAAACAAGGTAAAAACGAAATTTACATTAACTCTAACGATCATGATCATATTTCTAATGTTAACAGCAAGATCTAACATAGGTTACAGATCTATTATCAAAATCTACCTTTTTATTACATGAAAGCAAGAAAAGGCATGAAAACATCGATTTAATCACTTTAAATCTTGTAATTACTAAGGGTGCAGGAATGGGTGAAGATGACCTTGCCTTAGAGTGTTGGTGGACTCCTCCACCGCGTGTATGCAAGATCCCCCTTCAACCACGATCACAAAACTCTGCCTTCCTCTCGACAAACGCCTCGAAACTCTCTAAAAAAACTCACAATTAGGGTTAGGGTTTGAGGGGGGAGGTGGCTGGTGATAATCTCACGTGAAAGAGGGTAAAAAGAGCTTTAAAACGAGTATATATACGCATATATACAACTGGGTTCGAAACAAAACAAATTTGACCCAAAACCTGAAAGAAATATGGAAACAGACTGACTAGTCGACTACTAAACTTAGCAGTTGACTACTAAGACTCAAATCAGCCTGTTTAGAAAAATAAGTTTTCGGTATTTGGCCGTAACTTTCCCGTCCGACCTCGGAATGAGGTGATTTAAGATGATTTGGAAAGCTGCTGAAAAGACCTACAACTTCTATCTTTTAAGTTTTCCAAGATTCAAACTGTATCTATGTGTAAAACATGAATACTCTTAACTGATCGATTTTTTCCAGATTCAGACTCGTGCATGTTTCTCATCCGTACTCACATATATACATTGATTTGATCTCAAATCAAATCCTAGCATACTCAAACATCAATACATATGTTATTTATAACCATATAACATATTTATTATTATTTATAAGGCATATAGCTGCAGTGTGAAGAGTGTATAGCTCTACACTTCGTATTCTATGTTGTTTTTAAAGATGAATTTTATATTTTAGATGTATGAGAATAGGTAGAGCTATGTTTGGTTTTAAAGCACATGGGCGTTAGAGCTTTGAGTTCATAAGCAAACCCCCTATTTTTAGTGGATATGGTCTAGGTAATGGGTGTTTTATACTTGTTCTACCACTAGTGAGGTATAATTTTTTTACTTCTCCGCTTTCCTTTGTAATTTATCTGTTAAATGACAGCAGCATGTGAGGAATGCTATTTTAACAATGTTGATGACATTAAGACACTTTTTCTTAATGGGTTGGACTCGGCCAACCCTTAAGCTTATGACAAGCGAAAGAGGAACAGGGTGTTGCCATGTGGTTCTCACGTCTTCGATGCGGCAGAAACTGAGTATGCATTCTATCAGAACTTCTAAGAGGTTTTGGGCCCCACGCATTGCAAAATATGGGGGCCTTGTAGTCATTTCACTGCCCCCATGTGTGGCTCTCAAAACCCTGCACAATGTAGGTTACCCATAGGACTACTAGTCGCAAAAACTAGAGAATCAGGTCTCATGTAAAACCGACCCATATACTTTTATATATTAGTTGAGATGCATGTGCAATGCACGTGGTTGAATATCATAATTATTCAAATTGATAAAAATAGAATAAAAATAAAAAATAAAGTTTTTTGTTGGATTGATCATCAACTCAAAGAAAGGGGGTTTAGGGTTTGAGTGAGAGAGGAGGGGGCTGAGGTTATTAGGGTTTAAAAGAGGGTTCTGAGAGCTTCAAAATGGATATATATACTTAGGTATACTCCCGGGTTCGGTATAAACAAAACCAACCCGAAACAGATATAATCCTGGCGTCTGCACGCCCAACAGTCGACCGTATAGAAACCTACACACAGGCTGAAGTTCGGTATATTGGCCATAACTTTCTCGTCCGACCTCCGAATGAGGTGATTTAAGATTTGTTGCAAAGCTATTGAAGAGACCTACAACTTTGATTTTTTACACTTTCTCAGATTCTAACTGCATCAGTGCATAAAATATAGAAACTCATAACTCGTCATAAATCTCAGATTTTTCTTTTGGCCTTTGTGCATGTCTTGCACATATGCACTCATATATTCACAAATATATATTGAATTGATCTCAAATCAATTCTTATCATATTCAAACATCAAAATATATTATTTTTTACCATATAACATATTTATTATTATTTATCATAAAATATTCAAATTTTCAGGGTTTTACATTCTTCCCCTCTTAAAAGAATTTCATCCCTAAAATTCCGCAACGTATCTTAGGAATTAATAATATGAGAAAAGCACTAAGAGGGGATAATCCAGACAAGAAAAATCTCTCGTACACATCTCATACCATTAATCCCTAGATATAAATCACTAGCAATATCTATGCTTAACAATCTAAAATGTGGATACTCCCACTTAACCCCTAACTAAACGGAACTAGTACGTCGGGCGAAAAAATTCAAACAAGGAACCTCTCATATATATACCATGTATTCCAAATAATTAAGGATTAGGTGATAATTCCCCCATTCTAGTGTTAAAGATAAATATGACTATCCCAAAATTATCATAAACCATAAGAAAAACATAATCCAAATAATTTACCTGTTCAAACAGGTATGGGTAGTCACGACGCATATCCTCTTCGCGTTCCCAAGAAATCTCCCCAGATCCTTTCCAGTTCCATTGGACCTTCACCAAAGGAATCACCTTGTTTCTAAGTCTTTTGTCTTCTCTAGTAAGTACACAAATTGGAATCTCAATAGTAGACAAATCGTTCTGAAGCTCAATCTCCAGAGTATCCTATACTCGCTGTCTCTCCTCATCATGCAAGTGCTTCTTGAGCATCGAA